TCTATATATAATTTATTCGGATTTTGGGCGCTGAATGTATATTTAAATAAATATTTGTTTGTTAATAACCACTATAATTCTTGTAAATATGGGTTAATAGTTAAGACGTTTGTAAGGTAGTCAAGTTGAAATCTAGAAATCCAAAAAAGTTACAAGGTTGATCATATATATTACATAAATATATTTACCACTAGAAAGGCATATCTTGGATATCATCAAAATAACCTAGCCCCCACAAAATGTTAACAATTAATACTTATTTCATAATATAATTACTCTTTTTTATTTAACAATAATTTAAAATAAATAATAATTACCTAATTATTATTAAAACTTGTTAAATAAAAAATTGTTCTGGTCAACAAAAATATTTTTTCGAGTTTTGATTAATTTGAATTTTTTGGGAAAAAATCAAAAAGATGTTAAGGATTTTGGTTTTTTTATGGATTCCGAAGGGTTAGGTGCTGGGTATCCGAATCTATGATTAATTCAGCTGATGAAACAAAATCGTACWATTCGTACAAGTATTCGTTACTGTATATGATACAGTCTTTAAGTATTACCGGATACGGTGGGCCGTATGAAACTGAGTAGGTACCTATATGTGTATACGAATTAAGTAATTTTTRACTAAATTTTGTATAATATAGAAACTTCGAATGTTATTTATAAGAAAACATACATTTTTATTAACAGAATATTAAAAAAAAAAAAACTATAACTTGATTCTTAAAATAATAAATTAATGAAAATTCCAAAATAAATTTAATGTAATTATGTAAAAAAAATATTCCCAATAATCTAACTCGAACGTGTGCTAATTCTATTGCCATATTAGCTGTCAGCGTAATTTAGTTAAATCAAATCAATTACTCCAATAAACAGTCCAAACTTATCTAAATGCTTTATCAGTTTATCACAATATTGTTCAAAACATGAAAAATTAAAACTAAAGTAACAATATTAAATTATGTTACCTTCATACTTGGACACAGCTATTAAATACAACCACTGAAATGAAACTATTCCTTACTCAAATATTGTCAGATATCTAGGTTTATTCGTTATAAGAATTGAATGAGACCCTGTTCTCAAAAACAAACGTTAAAAACAAATAAACTCCACAGTGGCTACATTAGTTATTTTTACATAAATGCCTTTTTYGACCAATCTAGTTTTATAGTATTGCCAATTGGGTTACGCCGAACTCTTGAACATCAGAATAATCTGATTCTTATAAGTTATAAGTCTTCATATGTTTGATAAAGCTGTTTGGTTAATGATTTGTCACCAACAGCTTATTACTCAAAAATCTTAAAATTAAATTCATGCTGGACGTACAATATATAGGTATGAAATTMTAATGGTTTAGACTTTTAGAGTCTAAACCTTAGACAAACAAAAATGTACAAACAGTCGTACATAAAACATAATTATTCTATTTAGCAAATAATGAAATTAAGAGTCACTATATGAAAATATTTTATACAAAATTCAGTAATACATTACATTTTTTTGGTTACATTTAAAATTTAAAAWTTTTTTACACACTTAATTACTATTTTCCAATAAATGTTTAACAATTAAAAGGTTGATAGGTTTAGCATATGGGCTTATAGCGAATCCCATGTGACTGAATTTCTTCACCATTGTGATATTTTTGATATTGGGTAGTCGGTCTACTAACCATTTTACGTCCTGAAATTGAATAGATATAAATAAAAATATTTTTATATTATTAATTAATACTTATAAATTTAAAATTTTTATTCAA